CCCCATGTATCTCTTTTCCAACCTCTTTCCTTCCAGGCTTTTTGGTTTTTTATTGCTTGCTCATGTATTATCCATTGCCTCAGTCTGCTGTGGCCAACACTTTTGCCTTGAAATGCTTTCTGCAAATGGCAACTGGGAAGCTGCCCCTGGGCTGGGAATGCTCTGGGTTGGATAAAACAAAAGCCAGCCCTTATACCAGTCCTTTAGGGAGCTGCTAAACAGGTAAAAGAGCAAAGAAACAAAAAACACAACCTCAGTTATTTGAAAATAATGGTTTTTTTGCTCCCTCTGCACTAGAACCTGCATTGGGAGTATGGGCTACCATTTTCATGGATACCATCAATCTGGAAAGTGAAGGACAAGGTGGGCAATTTAAAATACAACAGCGTTCTCTTATTGCAGTGGGACATCAAAAATGTATCACAGTAAGTGTGACAGCTTCTTTAATAAGCTTCCTATAAATTCTTGACTGGATTCCAGAGTTTTGCAAAAATTGATTCCATTTTCCCCCCCACATTATTAGTTGATCTTTGTGGGAGGATGGAAACTTCGGGTTCTCTACTCCATCATTTTCAGTGATATCACTTCCTTCTTTTCCTTTTTGAATCCTTTAGTGAATCTTTACATATTCCTGAAAAGTAAAAGTTCCAAATCTTGTTTTATTTTATTAAAAGGATATTGTATATTTTCTTTTGGCCCCCATCCCACTGAATATTATTTCAATTCATCCATATTTTCACATGTGACATTGTGGTTAATATCTTGGCAGCTGAGTGGTATTCCAGCATAGGAGTATTTCTAGGAGATTGTTTAGCTCTTATTGTGAAATATTTTGTTTGCACGGCTTAACTGAGGTGAGGCAATGTAAGAGCTTGCTCATGTTTTCTAGGTCCCAATTAGCAGGCTGCTTTAAGGTACCTAGTATGTGTAGCATGGTACCACCACTGAGGAGTATGTTGGAGGGTGGGCCCAGCTGATGCCTCACTCAAATGTGAGATGTCAATAATGGGCGCAGAGGTGACTATTTGTGGACACAAAAATGGAAGGAGAGAATTCCAAAAACACCAGCGAGAAAGAATTGCTGACAAGCTCTGTAGGAAATTGGATACAGATGACAAAGGATCGGAAATTGAAATAACCTGTCAGGATCACAAGTCTCAGAAGTTGGGGTGTATGTGTTTGCAGGAAGGGATGATTCTAGTAAGAAAAGCAACAGAAGTTTGAAAAATGACAGTGCGTAGCCAGATTCACACTATATGAATACCTGAGCATCTGGTCCTCTTCGCTTTACTCCTGGATCAAGGCAGGAGTTTTACCTCTTCTCCCTGATTTTGGAATCCTTTTCCTCCATAATCTAGCTTTCATTTTCCTGTCAGATAGAAGCTCCCAGTCTCTTGCCTCTCTGCGTGGCTACTTCCTGCCCTGAGTCCCAGCTCCTGGCTTGCCTGGGTTACTGGCCCTGCCCAGTTACCCCACACACCCCCAGGTATAGTTGGGGCAATGCCCCTCTGCACCAGCTCTAACCCACACTGTGGCTTCTTGGGTGGTAAAGCGCCCAGGGTCTTTTTTTTTTTTTTTTTTTTGAGAATTTTATTTTTATTTTTTAAGAGTTTATTGTCAAGTTGGTTTCCATATAACACCCAGTGCTCATCCCCACAAGTGCCCTCCTCCATGCCCATCACCCCAGGGTCTTATTATCTCCCTGCTCCTTGGGGTCCAGCTCAAGTTCTGCATTTTCCATGAAATCTTTCTACATTTCTTTCTTCCCTCTTCAGAATAACTGTTGCATACAGAGTGCTTATGTGGATTTATTTTACTGAACCAAAGTCCTAGAGTGTTGAAATTACCTAAAAATTTAAAAAAATGTACAGTCTGAATCTATTTCTCTTTTTCACAAATAAGTTATTCACATTCCAGGATGACATATGTGGGAAGACTTTGTGTTTCAATTAATGAGGGCAAAAGCAGTAAATCCTTTGAAAATACCCCATGTGGTTATTATACTGTTGACGTTTAAGGGAGTTTCTCACCAAAGTTTAGAAATGTTTGCACCTGGGTGGTTTAGTCAGTCAAGTGTCTGACTCTTGATTTGGGCTCAGGTCATGATCGCACAATTTGTGGGATCGAGCCCTGCGTCAGGCTCTGCTCTGTGGCATAGCCATCAGGCATGGCAGCGTAGGAGCTGGCCAAAGGCACCGTTGGACCAGTTACCTGGTGGTCAGGTGTCCTCCAAGCCCCTTCATGAAACTAGTCAATGTTGGCTTACACAAACTCCTTACTGGAAACATAGCCTTTTGCTTGGTATTTTATATTCATCTGGTATTTTATATTTTAATATCAGGGGTGAATCTGGCCAAAATGACATTTGTTTTCAGAGCCAAGTTTCTTCATAGGCTTGTCAGCGAAGCTTCAGAGTTGAGGGTTGCTGCATGGAAGTGAAATCAACTGTGGGCCTTTGACACCTTGAATTGGACTTAGGTAATCAGTGGGGCTGGGGGTGGGGAGACATTATGACAACTCATGTGTAAGGAAGAGCAGGACAGCTTGTGTGTAAGAGAGGTTTTAATTTGAGTTTCTGATGACAAATTAGGGATACAAAGTCCCCATTAGGTTCAGTTTTCTAATTAGACCTCTGCCAAGGTGTGCCAGTTCTCTCTGAAGGGGGTGGATTGAAACCACTATTTCAACTCTTGGTTCAAGTGCGATTACTTTTACTACATTTAGTACAAAATCTGGTAACATTTAGTACAAAAGGGAAATCTTTTGACAGATTCAGCATTGTTAGGGCCTTGCATTTTATCTTTTTATATAAGAAGATCGTATATCGGGGCACCTGGGTGGCTCAGTCAGTTAAGCGTCCGACTGGATCAGGTCATGATTTCATGGTTTGTGGGCTTGAGCCCCGTGTTGGGCTCTGTGCTGATGGCTCAGAGCCTGGAGCCTGCTTGGGATTCTGTGTCTCTGGCTCTCTCTGCCCCTCCCCTATTTGTCCTCTGTCTCTGTCTCTCTCAAAATAATAAATAAACATTAAAAATTAAAAAAAAAAGATCATGTATTATGCACATGGAAGGTGCTTAAGGAATATTTTTATTGAAGTCTTATTTATTTCTCACAATGATGCTGTGAGGTAAGTAATTACTTAACCTGCTTTACAGATGAGGAAACAGCCACTGAGGAAGGTTAGGAAGCCTACCCTAGGGTGGACAGTGGGTTAGGGGCCAAGCAGGGCTCCAGCCCTGAAGCCCAGACTGTCACCCATGGTGTTCTCTGTGCTGCTTGCTAACTAGCATCTGTCTGCTGAAGGAATATAAGGTGGCCTAGATTTAGTGGGGGTATCATACAAGACCCACACATACGATGTGGACTGAACTCCGTGCTTCCAGATCCTTCCCTCATTCTGATTTGGTGTCTAGGCTACAGAAGCCTTCTGCATATGTTTCTGAAAGCACCACTTCTCTGTATAGGACACGCCCCTCCACTCCGTGCTTTCTGGAATCCAGGGCGCAGTTAGGCTTTCCTCCCTGATTTAGTGCCAGCTCTAGGACCTTGGTGAGTACTTGTTACGTAAACTCCATCTTGCTCTCAAAGCAGAGTTAGAGCATAATGGCTACAGTTCTAGCTGCTAGGCTAACCTAGGTCTACAGTTCACATTAAACATTAGCTCATATTGCCTCCAGGTTTGAAACCAGTGTACCCAGAAGAAATTTACAAAGGGACAGCGATGTTGAAATATTTTAAGTGCAAACATGAGGACTCCTGTGTGCTGACAGGGACAAGGCTATGTTGTCTAAAGTCCCTGTTTGAGCCTCATTTTTCCATCCCTTCCCGGTGGCTTTTTCTCTCAGAAACTTCAGCGGTCTCGTGCCTGAGCGGCCCAGCTCGCTGTTTGTTAAATGCCTCTGATGAAATACATATATGTAAAACCTCTTACTTTATCCCACAAAGAGGTCACTTTAATATAGTTTAATTCCCTGGGTGGATAGTGCTACTACTGCCGACCAGGTGGCAAAACTCAAGGTTTGGAGTGGCAGGAAAAAGAAATTGTAATGCTCATATTCTAAGTATAGAAGGGATTTGGGGCCACTGCATCCTGCCTTTCGCTTCCCACAGTCCGGTGTTCGGTGCATGAGCTTTTGGCTGCTTACATTTTATTGCCCTCTAGTGCGAACTGGTTTCTCCACCCATTCTCACTGTCTGTGACCTCAGTTCTGCACTGTTCCTGCAGCCTGAGGACGCAGCTAGGTCTGAGAGCGGGAGAGAAGGAAGAGAGAGCCGCTGTCATTTAGGGCATGAATTTGGCTACAGATATAACCCTGTCTACTTGTTTTCGTGGTCAACACAGAAAATGTGCAGGAGTCATGGCATCAGAATGTTGATCAAGTGTACAGGACTGAGTAGGTAGATGTTTAATGTATCTTATGGAAGCTGGACTTGGACAATTTCCCTATAATGAGTCCATCTCTTATACATATATATAAATATATACTTTCAAATATATATAATTCTTTATATATATATACCGTCTTCTGCAACCTGTCCAGATACTTCTTTTAACATCTTGCTTATTAATGTGACTGCCGGTGTTTTAGAGAAGTTGACATCTTAGGTGCTTTCTATTGGCAGAGAAATGTGGGCTCAAAAGCTTTTCCTCTAAATGAACGTGTTGTGTAACCTCCAAGCTGGCTCAGAATACAGGTGTGTGCTCTTGCTCTGAGAAGGTAGAAGAAAGGGGAGAGCCCAACACAAACAAGGTGTGGGGGAGGAAGGGCAGCACCTAATGGCAAAGGCCACCCTGTGCCGCAGCCTTAGCCGAACCATATCTCTGGGAAGGGGTTCCTTGCTGCCTGTTTGTATCCCTGAGTCTCCGCAGACCCCCGCCCTCCAACGTGGGATGTTAACCTTGGCCCAATATGGAGATTAGCTGTAGAGCTGAAGCCAAGTCCCAAAGGTCCTTCATTCAGTTCTGCAGAACTCTATACAGCCTTCTTCACCATACACTGACCAGACGTTGGGGCTTGGGAAATCCAAGCTGAGGACCGAAATTCCTCAAGGTAAGAAGACCTCCCCCCACTTCCCAGGAAATGGACTCCTCCAATTTTCTCACATGATTATTCAGACCCTTTCACTTTTCCATATAAAGGAGTCACTCAGGAGCAAGCGGTGACCAGTCGGAGAGAGTGACGCGTCCGTGCTCAGGCCCGCCCTCCTCACCGTCCTCACCTTCTGCTCAGGTGCTCCCAGGCGGTTCACCAGAAGCGAGCCCTGTGGCTCTGCCAAGGACAAACAAGCCTGTTGGGTTCACAGGGGAGAAAAAAGAAAACAACAACCCACCACCACACAAAACCACCTCAGGCAAAGTCAACAGCATTGAAATCGTTACCTTGAAGAAACCAAGTGGAGAAGCGAGCAAAGATGAATGGCCCGGTAGATGGCTTGTGTGACCACTCTCTAAGTGAAGAAGGAGCCTTCATGTTCACGTCGGAGTCTGTAGGAGAGGGACACCCGGGTAAGTAGGTGGTTGTGGACCGATGATGGCCTGTGCCGGGGAAGCCATTTTACTAGGGGCCTTGAAAGCAATCCATGTTCCTTACCATGAGGGGACCTCTGGAGACACCATAAGAAGCAGTTTTTTATTCTCCTAATTTAATAGTTGTGTAAAACAGCCACTGATTATGAAATGAGAAATTGTTCGTTAATGAAGCCAAGGGTTCATGCTGCTGCCCACTGCCAACACCTCCACACGATGAGGCCACCATAACACATGGTGGGTTGACTGAACATATTGCACATTGAACATGTATCAGATACCACATATTACACATTGAACATGTATGAGAGACCAGCTTTATATATTGGGGGTCAAGATAAAGCCTTATTATTGATGAGCAACTCAAGTCAACAGAGAATGTTCCAACGTTCTCTCAAACAAGACTGTGGTCACTAAGTTTTGTGTAAAGCCTGTGTAGTCTAGGAACGAACAGCACATTCCAGTAGTCGCTGAGACAGATCTCCAGGTCCTGAAAGCGTCAGGTATATTACCCAGGAGAAATACAGATGACCTGTTGAGGAGGAAGAACATTCGAGTGTTTTTTGGTGCTGTGGACAGATGGGAGAGGCTCATGTGTGACAGTGAGGGCCATGATCAGAGCCTCAGGCTGCAGGTCAGTGATTCTCAGACATCAGGGAGCATCAGTATCACCCAGTAGGCTTGTTAAGACAGAGTGTCGGACCCTACCCCCAGAATTTTCTAATCTAGTAGATCTTGCATGAGACTCCCTGTAAATTCTCAGGAGATGCTTTTGCTGCTGCTGTGGGAACCACACTTTGTGAACGACTGCTCTAGAAGAATTTGGGGGCTGGACACACTGGTTTATCCCTTATGCACTTCTTCAATGTGTGTTCTTTTTTTCTGAGAGAGAGAGAGAGAGAGAGAAAGACAGTGTGAGCAGGAGAGGGTCAGAGAGAGAGGGAGACACAGAGTCCAAAACAGGCTCCAAGCTAGCTGTCAGCACAGAGCCCGACGTGGGGCTCCAACCCACGAACTGTGAGATCATGACCTGAGCTGAAGTCGGACGCTTAACTGACTAAGCCACCCAGGCGCCCCTATTATGCACTTCAAAATTCATCTGAGAAATTAAAGTTTTGGTAACTATTCGCTAAGGCTACCTTTTTTTTCATCTTCCTCATCATTGTTATTTCATACCTTGTAACTCAGCTTTAGACATCACCTTCTATACGCTTTAGCTGGTGGGTCTCAACTGGGGGCAATTTGCCCCTTTTCCCCCAAGGGCATTTTGTAATGTCTGAAAACACTTTTGGTTGTCTGTCATACTCTGCTGTGAGGAGTTGGGGGTGCCACTGGCCTTTAGTGGATAGAGAGGCCACATCTGCTTCTAAACCTCCCTAATGCACAAGACCTTCCTCCCTGCAGCAAAGAATTTTCTGGCCCCCAATGTCAGTAGTGCCGCTGTTAAGCCTTGGTTTAAACTCAGTTTTGTATGTGACTTAGCTCAATTCAAAACAAATAGCCCCCTTTCACTGTGCATAACTTTAGAAAGTCTCTAGGTTCACAACTCTCAGAGCCTCAAATTCACTGCTGTCTAACACGTGATGGCCATACATGGGTTAGGATTTGCTCCACCTGGAAAAAGTGGGTGCCGGGGTGCGCAGGGGTCAGCGGTCCCATAGTGCACGCCCTGCTGTGCTCGGTGGACAGAGAAGGACAATTCTAACCAATCAAATGGCCATTCTGTCTCCTTGATGATTGCCTTTCAGTCCGTGTGACTCTCCCTTCAGTTGCCACAATCAATTAACTGTACAACTAGGTCATCTTCCTCTAAGCTTGAAGGCTTCTTGCTTGTCATTCCAGTGCTGAACTCTTCCACCAGGAGGATCAAATGAATGCTTTCTCAACTCGCAAGAAAACCAACTCTTAGCTATCTTACGGCCACTGGGTGATACTGATAGCAATTTTGCAAGCCTAAAGAAACAGTTTAGAAAGAGCCTCCCGAGGCGTTATTTTAGTGTTTAGTGCGGAAGTGTTTCAACACCCTTGCTCATCTTGGCTTTATCTCTAATGCCCCTTATCCCACTCCCCTGTGTGGACTGGGGACATGTGACCCGAGTCCTTGAAACAAGCAGAGTCGTCCACAGTCAGCATGTGAGTAATGCTAGGAGTCCTGATGGGTAAGGCTGGGGGAGGTATGTTAGCAGCAGGCTTTCACTGGTAGGAGTGTGCAGAGGTGGTGGCATTAAACAAGCCTAGATTTATAACTGCGGTCTGCCACTGGAGAGGGCGTGCCTAGAAAGCCCCGAGGTTTAGTAGCAGTTTCTCAAGGAAAAATGTGAGAGTTCACCTTTGATGGCAGATTACTATTTTAAGTTACGTTGGAGTGAATGCTTTAAATGATGCACTTAGGACAGCAGAGCCGCTTGATTGTGGGTCTGGATTCTTCATATAAACACTAAAAAACAAAAAACAGAAGGACACAAGGGAACTTTTGGAGGTGACAGATGTTTCTTACCTTGTTTATGGTGATGATAACGTAAGAGCACTCACATGTCCAAACTCCTCAAATTGTGTGCTTTAATTTTATGCAGATTAGTTTCGTACACCAATCATACCTCAATAATACTGGAAAAAACTGTATTAATCTGTTAAAAGCTAACTCTGGGGACACCTAGGTGGCTCAGTCGGTTGAGTGTCCAACTTTGGCTCAGGTCAAGATCTCATGGTTTGTGGGTTCGAGCCCCGCATTGGGCTCTGCGCTATCAGTGCAGAGCCTGCTAGGGATTCTCCCTCTACCTGTCTCTCTCAGTCCCTAGCTTGCTCTCTGTTTCTCTCAAAAATAAGAAAATAAACACGAAAAAAAGAGCCTATTCTGTGGGTATTTTGAACATTAAATGAGACATAATATGTGTAATAGATGTCATTTTTATTTCTGAATCTGTGAACATTGACAGTTCGCACAACCTCAAAGCAAGAGTGGACTTTTCCATCATGCCATTGAGGAGTCCGCATGCTCAACCATGTGGAGTCCTGAAGGCAAGTAGTGGAAAAATAAGGTCGAATCCCAGGGGCTCCTGTTGAGCTGTGGTCAGTCCCACCTTGACTGAGGTCAAACCAAGCTAGGACATCTAGCCTCCAGGAGGTTGCTGAATGGCCGGGGGAAGATCTGAGAGCTGCTTATGGAAATGTAGAATAGCAGTGATGTGTAGAGGCTCTCTTACAGATTTCTAGATCTGGGCCGGTGGATTCAGGCTTGGTGCTGTATACACAGTGTGTTGCTGCTCGCAGAAACTGCAGAGAAAAGTTATCTGTTTGTCGCATCTGATTTTATGTGTTGGCACCTAATCTCACTGACATCATTAGCTATTTTAACTTCTTTTTTTTTTTTTAATTTTTTTATTTATTTCTAGGAGAGAGAGAGAGAGACAGCGTGAGCAGGGGAGGGTCAGAGAGAGAGGGAGTCACAGACTGAAACAGGCTCCAGGCTCTGAGCTGGCACTCAGCACAGAGCTCGACACGGGGCTCAAACCCACAAACCGCGAGATCATGACCTAAGTGAAAGTCGGACGCTTAACCAACTAAGCCACCCAGGAGCCCCTTAACTTCTTTTTTAATAATTATACATTTTAATGATCATATCCACTTGTTAAATATATATATATATATATACATATATATCGATGATTATTTATTTTGGAGAAAGAGAGAGACCGTGCGAGTCAGGGGTAGAGCAGAGAGAGAAGAAGACAGAAGGCATGAAGCAGGCTCCTCACTGACAGCAGAGAGCCTGATAGGGGGCTAGAACTCATGAACCATAGGATCATGACCTGAGCCAAAGTCGGACACTCAACCATTGAGCCACCCAGTCACCCCAGCTATTTTAACTTCTATTTCTAGGAGTTTTCTAGATTTTAGACCTAAAGGGAATATCTTAAGGACTGAGATACTTTTTAATAGAAGACTCTGTGTGTGTGTGTGTGTGTGTGTGTCTGTGTGTCTGTGTGTGTCTTTGTGTGTCTGTGTCTGTGTATCTGTGTCTTTAGTGTGAATTGCTTTAGTCTCTTAGAACTGATTTTGGAACGTATGTCTTTTTTGGGGAATGCTATGACCTTGTATAATACACATCATCCAAAATTAACAGAAATGGGAAGAAGTAAAACTTTCAAAAAATTCCTAATTTTTTATATTTAAAGAGGTGTCCTCTTCAGTAGGTAGATTTGATAAGTAAACTTACCAAATATCTAATTATTTGATACTTCAGTTTGTTGGACCTGGTATCTCTGTGATTCTTACACATGTTGCTTCTCCTCCAGACAAGATCTGTGACCAGATCAGTGATGCCGTGCTGGATGCCCATCTGAGGCAGGACCCCAATGCCAAGGTGGCTTGCGGTAAGGGACACCCGCTCCCTGCTGAAGACCTCAATGGGCTGGGCATGAGGCCTTTGCCTGTGCTGACGCCCTCGGCACAGCAGAAAGCCAGGAGGGCCCCTGGAGGGCCCCCGAGGTGATCATGGGTGCAGCTGAATCAGGGCCTTGGCCAAGGTCACAGGGCAGGGGTGCCCAGCATGGAGACCAGAGCCCCGCTGTCTACACTGTGCACTGCACAGATGGCTCCTTCCTCTCCTGTGCTCCCACAGTCCCTGCACTGAGCACTACAGGGACCTGTGCCTCTGAGGGTACGCTTTACCCTGGTACCTTTGTGAATGGCCAATGAGAAGGTTGGCCCGCCTTGACCTCAGGACCTCCGCCTGCAGTGGGGGCTTAGGAGTAAGGGGCAGGGGCGGCCTCCTGGAGCGTGTGTGTGTCTGTGTGTATGTGAGGCGTGTTGACTGCATTCCTTATGACAGCCCTCTGCCACCATCGCCTTGCTTTGAGCCACACGGCAGTCCTACCGCTGTCTTCACGTAGCAGCTGGGGATGCAGACTTAGAGAGGCTGAATAAGCGGTTCAAGAGCACACGAGAAGGACGTGCTCACTGTGAGAGCGAGGTGTGACCCGTCTGTCGCAGTGTAGTTCTCCAGGCAGCATTCACACGTGGTCGCACTTCTACCGGGATTTGCTCTGCTTGTTAGCATTATTCCTTTATTTCTGGCCTCCATGCCCTGTAAGACTCTTCCTGAGCCCCTTTCTCAGTGCCGAGCGGGCTCTGGGTGCGGTGCTCCCTCTGCTGGCGCCTGGCCACTGAACTCCCCCCCCCCCCCATGCAGAGACGGTGTGTAAGACGGGCATGGTGCTGCTCTGTGGAGAGATCACCTCCACGGCCACAGTGGACTACCAGCGGGTGGTGAGAAGCACCATCAGGCACATCGGCTACGACGACTCCGCCAAGGGTGAGGCGGACCCCTGGGTCTGAAACACGTGGGCGCCCCTGAGGCTGTGTCAGATTGTGGGGGGGTGTCCATCCTCTGCAAGTGCAAGTCCCAACCGGGAGAAGTAACACTCCTTGGCCCGCCTGGCAGGTCACGCGTCATAGTCTCTGGCGATAGCATGGCAGCCCAGCGGATGGCGCCCGGTTGACTAGCCAGGGTCCATCCGTGTGGCCTCTGGTCTTGGTGCTGGCAAAGGCTTTGGAAGAGAGAAGCACTGAGTAAAGGGAGCCGCCCTCCGCTGGGGAGATGATCTCTGCCAGGCGGGGGCGCTGCTCTCTGTATTTGTTCTCTTAACTGTTTGAGGCCCTCTGCTGCGATTCTCCCGGAGAGGAGTCTCCAACTGAGGCTTGGAGACATGAATAATTTGCGCGTAAGGTGATGGCCAGTAAGCGGATGCCCCTTTGAGACCTCTGCGCTTTCTGCCTAACGATGCGGCTTCTCATTCTAAACAAAGAAAAACAAAGCAACTCGGCCAAGAACTGGTCCTCATAGCAGGCGAAGAAGACAGGCTGGCCGAGGTTGGCCCCAGTGGCAGGCAGTGTGGGACGTTGCATCCCAGGGAAGGGGTCCAGGCCCTGGCAGGAATCGAGGAAGGGCGCTGTAACCAGGCCACAGTGACAGCTAGAAAGAACGGGGCAGGGAGAGGGGGCTCATAGCAGATTCCAACATCTGAGACGGGGCAGGGCGGGAAGGGACCCAGTTTGGAGCGGCATCCGAGGACTGTGTGCGAGAGCCGATGCTGAGGGCCTGTGCACCCAGACTTCCCACTTACGGGTTCTTTAGGGTGACGTATGCCACCTCTGTGGGGCGGGGCAGGCTGGCATGATGCAATGCACACGTATGAGCGAGAGTCCCTCGTCGCTGAGCGTGCAGACACAGAAGCTCACTGCAGCCACCTCTGTCCCGCCCGGGGTACTCACTCGAGCACAGGAAAGCGAGGTGAGAACCAGTGAGCACGGGAACATTCTCGCAGTCAGCACAGGGGGTGTTCATAGAGGAAATACATTGTCCCAGGCCCGCAGCCTCCCCACCTGTTACCATGCACAGCTACACCCCTGTCCTACCAAGAACAGGCCACTGTTTAAGACATGTAGGCCTTATTCAAGAGCAAGCCCTGTTCTGCACGCGGTAGGAGGGGCACTTCCCAGGAGGCGACGTGTGCTGGGCAGGAAGAAGCGAGAGAGAGCCCAGCTCTGCTGGCGGCCGCATTTCTGTGCACCCAGCCGGCCGCTGTGCCTGTAACCCGGAGCACCCCAGACAGCGACAGCGTGGCGGCTGCACGAGCAGGTCCCCGGGCCGACCGCCCCACACTGCTCTTTGCTGCACACCTGCTGGGCTGGCTGCCCTCTGAGCTCTGCTCCTCTCCCCTTGGCCCCCTGAATTCGATTTTTCCGAACCGCTTGGAGCCCTGGGCGGATTTGCAGCGCTGAGAAGCTTCACTATTCAGAGAGCGATTAGGGAAAATGCAAAATGTTTACTGCGCAGTCAGTGAGTCCTCGGCAGGCCTCTAAAGATGCCTCGTTGGTTTGTGTGTTCAAAAACATTCTCTGGGAACAGGAAGCTGTAAAGGACAATGGCGTCCTGGTGCTCCCAGAGTGGGGGCACTGCTGGGCGTTAAACGGTGCCGTAGGAGGTGCCCAGCGGCGAGTAGGTAGGAGGGAGAGGGAGGGAAGGTCCAGGAACGTTTACTGAGAGCTTGTTGGATTTGGGCGTGTGGGGACAGGGAGCTGGAGGGAGAGCATTCTAGATGGAGACCTAGTGGAGGTAGGAAAATGGGCCGCACTGAAGGCTAGCCCCAGGAGTGTGTCAGGGGGCTAGGTGGTACTGAGGCGTCTCAGTTCCCCTTCACCGGGCAGCAGACCCCACAGGAAGCACGTACATAAAAAACAGCCTTGATCTGGGTCGGTCGATTGGTTTAAGTAAAGCTCACACTGGCAGCATAGGTAGAACAGACTGAAAAGAGAGTGACAGCTCCTCAGCTTGTCACTGATACATGACCTGGTGGTGGAGCATCCGTGAGTGTCAGCCCCCGAGTCACACAGTGCCCATGACCGGGGCCAGCAAGGCCCACAGGGAGAGGATCGCACTGGATATGCCCAGCGGCCCCTTCTGGGGGCTCTGGGGAGGGGACTGCCGCTGGCCAGCGCCCCCAAGACAAGTCCCAGGCCTACGGCAGGGCGCCTGGGAACTGTGGGGGTGGGCATACATGGCCGTGACCTCCAGAGGCGTGGCTTTCCCATTTGGCTCCAGGCCCTGTGCAGAGCTTGGGATCCGAGGACTCTGGGAGCCTCTCTGCATAGTTGATGTGCACCGTCTTTGTTCAATGTGTTTCGTATGTAGACACCTGCGCCCGGGCCATGAGTCCCCCAGCCCAGCTATTACCTGGTTTTTACACTGCAGTTCTGTGTAGGGTATATATTTTTAATCTGGGTATAATCGACTATAGTAAAACACGCTGTGGAGTATATTCTCTGACCAGTCTTGCAGATGATAACATGGGGCAGACCTGTGGCCTTCCCTATCCTGGGCCTCTCAGCTTTGGGCCCAGGCAGATCCCAGCTGGTTAGAGACTGCCCACCCCACCACAAAATGCCATGTCGTGGGCTGAGCAGTCTGCCAGGACGCTGGAAGCACCCCTCGGTGTGACCCGTGTCCCCACGAAGGCCCGCTCTCCCTTCCGCCTAGGCTTTGACTTCAAGACCTGCAACGTGCTGGTGGCCCTGGAGCAACAGTCCCCCGACATTGCCCGCTGTGTGCACCTAGACAGAAACGAAGAGGACGTCGGGGCCGGAGATCAGGTGACTAAACACGGGGCGCAGCTGTGCCGTCAGGTGGGCAGGAGAGCGCTGCTTGTGTCCACCCTGGCTCCGTGCCGAGAGGCCAGCCGGGAAGTTCCTGAGTAATGGATTGGACCCACAGTGGGGAGGACCCCCTCCATACCCCCAGGAGCCCCGGGGAGGTCCGTGTGCCTGGAATAAATTAGGACACCCCTGCTTCAGGACAGCAACTCGAGGACGCGGCCTACTTGGGGAAGACTGGTGGCCAATGCCCGATTTGGGCTTGTCTTCTCCCCTGTCCCAGAGCGTTGGGAGGTCAAGGGCCGCGTCTTCCCCCCCACAAGGGCCCTGGGGCAGATGTGCACAAGGCACCCAATACAGCTATGTCCTAGATGAGAAGAAAGTCTTCCTGTTTTCTAACATGCGTGTTGTTGACGTTCTCCTCCAGGGTCTCATGTTCGGCTAAGCCACTGACGAGACGGAAGAGTGCATGCCCCTCACTATCATCCTGGCTCACAAGCTCAATGCCCGAATGGCGGATCTCAGGCGCTCTGGGGTCCTCCCCTGGCTGAGGCCTGACTCCAAGACCCAGGTGAGCCTTCTCCTCCCCCCTCCCGTGGAGTTCCCCCCCACCACTGTCAGCAGCCCGGGGTCCCCTTGGTTCTTATCATTGTTAGAAGCAAAATGTTCAGTCCAGACCTTCAAAGAATTGTTGATTGTGAATAAGACTCTTTATTAGAAAACCCTTCAGGTCTATGTGTTTTCTCCCCTGATTTTTTTATTGTGAAAAATATCAAAAATACAGAAAAATTGATTTTTTTTTCCTTCTTAGCATGTGTTGACACTGGTGATATGGTTCCTTGATTCCAGCTGCACATTTAGTTGTTGTTGTTTTTTTTAATAGTTTATTGCACATTTAGTTCTTAACTGGCCTGACTTTCGGTCACTGCCCACTCACAGCCGCAAGCCTCCACACCTTGAGCAAGGTCCACAGGCCAAGTTGACAAGTGAGATCTCGCTGTGGCCCTTTATCACTGTTTCTCATGAAAAGGCTTTCCCATTGCTGTTCTGGACTCTCTGTCCCCAGGGGCCTTGACCTCTCTGCTCCAGAACATGGGGACGTCCCCGCCGGAGTCCACATGTGAAGGCCGGCGGTGATGCAAGTGTTAGCGCACATGGGCAGAGGTGCCCCGTCCACTTCCCCTCTCTAGGTCCCTGCCCTGTGTCACCCTTGTGGCCCTGCTGGCCCCCTTACCGGGGCTTTTTCCCCTGGCTCATCTCCCAGGGTCCAACAGGCCATTGGCACTTTTGCACACCTCTCCCCTTCCACCCGAGCTTGCACTCAGCTTCTACTGTGTCACGCTCAGCACCCAGAACTTCCACCCGCAGGATGTCGGGATCAGCAGCCCTGTTTCTCATTCCCCCTGCAAACACGTGTGCCCGAGAGCCATCATGTGCAGCCTCCTGGTCACCTCCTCCTCCGCTCCAGGGAGGCCACGGTGCCCCCCACCCCGTCCTGCTCAGTGCCCCTCTGTCTCCATCCTGCCTCGCTTCATGTTTTCCCTAGAGAGCATCTCTTCTGCCCCAGTCCAATTCCCAGGCCACCGTGGGGATGCGCACCGTGCCCTCCCAAGGACTTTCAGTGCCTGGAAATGCCACTTAACTCCCTTTGGACTTCAAATTTCCTAATACTTGCTTGGAATCCTTTACAGTTGTCTGCTTCCTACAGGGAGAAAGCCCCAGGGTGTTATTTTGCCATTCCAAGCCTCTTATCTCTTCCGGTTTTAACGTCCTCCCCCTCCCCCTCCCCAGTCCTTGCTTAATCTCAATTACTTCGCTCCTTAGTGCTTGGTGCCTCTGCTCCCACCCTTCACCTCACCTGGAATCTTCTCAGGTTCCCTCCTGTCCATCAGTGGCCAGCAAAGCTCCCACCTCCTGTGGTTTCCCCTGGTGCCCACCACCGGACGGGGTCTTCTCCTGCCCCCGGACTTGGAATGTGGAGCACGTGGTTGTATAGCTCAGTGTGGGGCACGTGACGGTCCCATGGCCCCCGCCGCACGGAGGTGCACTGATCTCACCGCAGGTGTGAGGCTACACGGGGCGAGGTTGCAGCTGTCTGAACCCGGGATGAGGAAGTACCTTTGTGGCCTAAAGCCAGCCCTTCCTGGTGTTCTCCGCATGCCCCCTAGGGCGGGGAGTGGAGCCGTCAGCATCCCTCAGGTGTTCCTCGGGGTCATGGGGCAGGAGAGGGTATCAATGGAAAGGGGCCCACGGCTGCTGGTGCCCCCGGCCCAGTCCCGTCCGGAACCGCGCTGGGATGGGAGGCAGGAGGCAGGTTTGTGGAAAACGGGATCCTAGAGCAGGGGCTGGAGGAAGGAGAGCGCTGGGACTTCCCTTTCCTCGTGTGGCCGTGAGACCCGGGGGCACCGCGGTGGACCAGCCGAAATAGGGGAGGCCCGCATCGTCTGCTCAGCGGTAGAGGTGTGAGGACCTTCCCGCAGGGACACGTGGAATTCTCTTGATGCTACTTTGGATGCCAAAGTCCACCTCACTCCCCCCGCCTGCAGGGGGGCCAAGCTCCTGGCGTCACAGAGGCCCCGGGTGGGTCTGCCCCGCTGCCCAAGGGTCGCTGTGCCAGGATCATTTCTAGGCCGGCTCCATGGCCTGTTGGTGAAGGACTTTCCTCATCTGACCAGAGTGTTAACAGTGAACAGGATGAATCTTTCCACCTGAGCGAATTCTGGCCGCTGATATTGCGAACCGAGCGGCAGTCCGGAAGGCCGTTTCTGTGCCCGGTTAGAGTGGTGTTTTCCGTGGGTGTGTTTCCCCCACATCTTGCTGAGGCGATGAGAGAAGAGGCACGCTTGGACCCCTTGGCTCGGCCACAGTCCTGCGTCCCTATGTGGATGGGTGTTGCTGGGGCTCGCGGCCGGTGGCGGGGAGCAGAGGAGGCGCCTCGGGAGCGCCTCTGGGTGCCGGCCTTCTCCCAAGGCCTGGTGCCGATGTAACCGATCTGGTCCCGGAGCCAGCCACGGAGACACCCCTCCTGCGGACCCCCACCCCAACTCTAGCAGCCCATCACATCTGTGTGCATGTAGCCCAGCATTTAAAGGTATCTCTCAGGATTCAGATGTCACTGCGCACCTGCCCCTCGCACTAGGATCAGGCGTCACATGGGCTGGGCTCTTCTCTTCCTTCTTCTGGATTCCACCCACCTGTTCTTTGAACTGGGCGGGGCACAGAGTAGCAGTTTGATGCAGGCCCAGTGTTTGGTGAATATTTGAGGGGCCTTGGGCGGGCAGAGACCTTGCTGCCGGCACGGCCCTGGAGAGGCACCATTTGCTGTCCCGTGGTCCTCTCAAGGCCCTGGGGTAGGAAGTAGTGCTGTGCGTGCCAGCCAGCGTGGCTACCAGGGACATGTGGCATAACTGCGCTCCCGCAGGCCCCGCACCCGGCACTGCGCTTGTGGATCCACACTGCCCTTTGGTTCCCGCATGTCCCTCGGGGTCTTGAGTGACAGCCTTCTGCTGGGCAGAGCCCTGGCTCTGTTGGCTGTGTGATCTTGACCCAGGTGCTCTGTTCAGGGGCCTGAGCCCTCCTAGCTGTAACACAGGGTGGTAGCAGCGGCTCGCAGCTCGTGGCCTGGCTTCCAGCATGCAGGGCCTGCAGTCAAAGCCGGTTTCTCTCCAGTGTCATCCACTGTCCTCACCGTCCCCTTCCCTCTGGCTCCACAAACCCAGGGGGCCCAGACCGCAGTCCTCTGTTACCAACGGAATGGGGCTGTGTCATAGGGCTGGGACATCACGCTCACTGCCGCGTCACTAGAGCACGGGGTCTCTGAAGGAGGATTTGGTCTGTGCTGCTGCAGGAATGGCCACCAGCTTTCGGATCAGGCAGAACGGGGTCTGGCTCTCTGACTTGTCACAGGCTGCTGCGTGACTTCAGACAAGGCACTTCGATTCTCCTAGCCTGGCTTTTGCTCCTTTGTAAAGCAGAGCTGATACTGCCTGACTTGCTGGGATGACCTAAACATGAACTGGCCACGCACAGATGGCCCACCTGGGGAGAAGCGAGGGTTAGAACAGCCCCTGTGGCTTGCCCTGCAAGGTCACCTTCCCTCCACACGCTCTCGGCTCTTTTCCTTTCTTTTGCTCAGACACCCAGAAGCTGGCCTTCCGGGCTTGTTTCTCCATCTCCGCCAGCCTGACCTGAGCCCCTGTCACCCTGTCCCTACAGCAGGCCAGTCTTCTGGCCCCACACACTTCTGGAGCTCCTCTGCCAAGGGGCTGGAGCAGCCGGTGTGGCCCATGGATGCCTGTGATCCTTGGCAGGAGCTCTGAGCCATGGAGGGTGGAGAGAGGGCTTTGGCCAGGGGGACCTTCGCTGGCACCCAGAACCCACTGACGTAGAAGGGGAGGAGTCTAGCTGGGTCACAGATAGAGAGGAAACTCTAACCTTGAGTCTCTAAGTGGCACTAATTGTGGTCATAGGTGGGAATAGCTCATGCCTCACACCCAGCCATCCCCTGGCACTGGGCAAATACTCAAATACAAGAAGATGTCCGATTAACTTTCCCAGAGGTCCTTGGAGGACAGGAAGCTCCCCAACCCCTCGCTTGGCTCCTGGGAGTCCCGCCTGCCCCGAGTGTCTGTGCCTGGCAGCAGTGTGTCCTCTGCTGGGGGCAGGGCCTCACCACGTCTCCTCCTGCCCTTGTGACTTGATAGGTGACAGTGCAGTACATACAAGACAATGGTGCAGTCATCCCCGTGCGCGTCCACACCATCGTCATCTCAGTGCAGCACAATGAGGACATAACGCTGGAGGACATGCGCATGGCCCTGAAGGAGCAGGTGATCGCGGCCGTGGTGCCAGCCAAGTACCTGGACGAAGACACAATTTACCATCTGCAGCCCAGCGGGCGGTTCGTCATCGGAGGTCCCCAGGTGCGCCCTTGCCTCGGAGCAAAGCTCTCCTGGTGTGTCTGTGTTACTGGGCGTCTTACCCCCTGAGCGCTCAGGAGGAGGTGCCTTTGTGTGACTCAGCCACATCCGGCCCTGGACAGAACGTGGGGTCGGCTCACACTCCGTGGGGCCTGCCGTCCCTGTGTCAGTGCAGGAGGAATTGGGGGCATGTCCCCGGGACTCACCCAGCTAGTGTGGCCTGGCCCTCCCCCTCCAGACATGTCATGCTGGCCCAAGCCACTGCCTTGCCCATCGAGATGCCAGCTCACCGCCGCGGGTGGCTGGCCTCTCCCGGATGGCACTCCTGGGCCTTTGCCACAGGTCTCCTTTGTGGCAGCAGAGAGGAAGTGGTGATGGGCAGAGCACATCTGAGGGGCTGCTGACCTCTGCCCGGGGCGCCTCAGTGGGGACGCGTTACCGCAAAGCAGAGCCCCTGCAACAGGATCCGCGACCAAATGTAGAGCAGAAACAGGTTGAAGGGACGGTAGAGCTTACCACCATTTCCTGCAGGACTTCTCAAAGCCTAGATGTGCCAGTGGGAAGTGTGGGTCTCCTAGCAGGGGAATAGAGTATGCGGGCTTTCCCCAAAGCACTTAACACGGGGCCCCTGCCCTTGTACGGCATCATCACCGCAATCCCCCGGTGGTTCATTCAGTTGAGCAGCTGACTCTTGATCTCAGCTCAGGTCATGGCCCCAGGATCATGGGATCGAGCCCTGAGTCAGGCCCCATGCCTGGGATTCTCTCTCTCCTGGGGCACCTGGGTGGCTCAGTCTGTTAAGCATCTGACTTTGGCTAAGGTCATGATGCAGTTCATGATGGGTTCAAGCCCCACATCAGGCTCTCTGCTGTCAGTGTGGAGACTGCTTTGGAACCTCTGACCTCCCTGCTCCTCTCTGCCTCTCCCCTCCTCGCTTGAAAAAAGATTCTTCTTCCTCTGTCCCTCCCCCCTCCCAGAAAAAAAAAAAAGATTAAAAAAAAAAAACCCATCATTACTGCCTGATGTTGCACAGAGCAGACACTTGAAGAAATGGGCTCCGTGGCATTTCCTGGGAGCTGCCAGCCAGGGCCACAGCCCAGGGCGTGTCCCGGCCCAGGACTCTCCTGCAGCTTGGATCTTCCCATCGCAAATGACTCATAAAAATAGACTGAAGTAGGAGCCGGCTGTGTTTCCAGAGAACCTCTGGCCCTTAGTTTGCACTTTCTGATGAGGCTCTGGCAGGTTACCTGATTTCTGTAGTGGGTCAGTGACTGAACTGGGTTACAGTGCAAGATTTCTTTTTTATTATTTTAAAACTATTAAAAAAAATTTTTTTAATGTTTTATTTATTTCTGAGAGAGAGACAGAGAGAGCATGAGCAGGGGAGGATCAGAGAGAGAGGGAGTTACAGAATCTGAAGCAGGCTCCAGGCTCTGAGCTGTCAGCACAGAGCCCCACACGGGTCTCGAACTCACAAACCGTGAGATCATGACCTGAGCCGAAGTCGGACACTTAACCAACTGAGCCACCCAGATGCCCCTACACTGCAAGGTTTCTAGCTGACTCCCACCTTTGGAGGGAGGGCGGCTTTGAAAATGTCCACAGGCAGCTTCAGGGCATGCTTTCCTCGTTAGTCCAGCGGCCATCACCGCGCTGCAGCTGCCGGTCCGCCCTGCCCTGTGGGGACCCCGATTCTCATCCCCCCCCCCCATTTCTTCCTTTCCCTCTGCAGGGAGATGCAGGCGTCACCGGCCGGAAGATTATCGTGGACACGTATGGCGGCTGGGGGGCACACGGCGGCGGCGCCTTCTCCGGGAAGGACTACACCAAGGTGGACCGCTCGGCGGCCTACGCTGCCCGCTGGGTGGCCAAGTCCCTGGTGAAAGCGGGGCTGTGCCGCAGAGTGCTCGTGCAGGTGGGTGGGCCCCGCTCTGCCGGCCCCATCTCTGCCCCGGGTTGGGTGAGGGGCCATGCTGGCCACATGCCTTGCCAAAGGCTGGGACTGTGTGCTGCACTGGGCACTGGGGCGTGGACCCTGAAACCCCAAGGGAGGGAAAAGACGTTCAGGGAGAGAGGCATATGCCGAAACTGCGTGCTGTGAAGATGGCAGAGGTTTCTAGACAGACGCGGTTGGGGAGCTCCTTGGGCAAGGGGTGGGCAGTTCCCACTGCCCCTCTCAGAGGGCATCGGGTCTCTGAGGAGCAGACCCCCTGTACAGAGGCTTCCGGCCCTGACCCTGGTCTCTTCTGGAAGGTTTCCTACGCCATTGGTGTGGCTGAGCCCCTGTCCATTTCCATCTTCACCTATGGAACCTCCCAGAAGACAGAAAGAGAGATGCTAGAGGTGGTCAACAAGAACTTTGACCTCCGGCCCGGGGTCATCGTCAGGTAAATCACCGCCCCGTCGCTGCCAGGTGGGACCTTCCTCCTCCCTCACCCAGATGTTTGGCTTCGCTGAGAGAGAAACGGAAAGGACTTTCAGCCTCCCTGAAGCAGGAGGGCGTCCAAGCTCCTAGCCCAGCACGCGGCACACCCCAAGTGCAGGCTGTCTGCTTTTCAGGTTGAAGGGGGCTGTCTAAAGTCCTTGCTGGCCCAGAGACACTGACTCCAGGGGGACATCTTTGGGTAGGTGGAGGGGGGAGGGGTGTCTTAGGAAAGTAATTATAAGGCCGAATGCTGGGAAGTGAGCTGGCGGATCCAGTCCCATCTGCCCTTGTTTCTAATGGCGCCCTTGCTTCGTGAAGCAGGCCAGTGGAGTGGCGAGGAGAGGAAAAAGGCACGGCAAGGCCAGAGTTCAAGTTCTCAGTCCTGGGTGTGTGTGTGTGTAACCGGCTGTCCCCGAATCTCTGAGCCTATGTCCTAAGGGCTGGTGACAGTCACCTCATAAGATGTGATGTGGCATAGACAGGAGATGTGTGGGACATTGCCCTGACCAGTGATGCTCCATGCAAAGGCTCTCACACCCTGTTACTCTTGGTGCTCAAAATTCAGAGCGACTCTATTCCCTTTCTGTTGAAAATGACCCTCTCCTCTGCTGGCTATGCAGGGACCTGGATTTGAAGAAGCCCATCTACCAGAAGACAGCATGCTATGGCCATTTCGGAAGAAACGAGTTCCCGTGGGAAGTTCCCAAGAAGCTTGTGTTTTAGAGCTGGTGGGTGCAGGGCCTGCATGGCCCCGGGAGCGTCTGGATGGCCTGGTTCTTCTTGCCCAAGACCCCAACTCTCAGATGTCCCAGCCCCAGGGCCCTGACTGCCCCCTCAGGGAGTGCCTTCCCCACCCATCGCCCCCTCCTGTACCAAGCCGTGCCCGCGGCCCCCCGCCGCCAGCCACTCCCCAGGGTTAGCCCTGTGCTGTCCTCCCTGTGAATGGCAGGGGGCGGGCTGGGGCCTGGGGTCAGACCTCCTCATGAGGGCAGTCACAGGGTCCCCCTGCTTTCCCCTCAGACCGAGGTGATGCTAATTTAGTGGAAAACCACCCCTGTCAAGAAAAAACACCCCTCATACCTCTCCCATGGCCGGTCCCCTCCTCCCTCATAGACCTCAGGGACCCTCGGTGTGCTGGCTCTGCCCGTCCCATCTGTGTCCTGGGCCCTGAGCCAGAGCCTTCGCAGAGGCCTCCCGGGCGAGGCATCTGGCAGGGATAGGAACGGGGCTGACATCTGCTGAGTGGCCACGGTGTGCGAGGGGCCGAGCCAGTTATAGCTCTCATTTCTTCTTCACCGCGACATGATGAGGTAACACCTCACTCCCACTTTACATATGGGGAGACTGAGGCACAGACCACCTGGGTAACCTTCCCGAGGTCTCACAGCCGCATGCGTCAGGACCTAGACAGGAACCCAGGAGCTTTGGCTCAGGAATCCATACACACCCTCTCCCCCAACCCATTCCTATCTCGTGCCAGACAGAGGCCTGAGCAATGACCGAGCAGATTGACAAGCAGCTCTGTGACCTCTGTCCTGAAGGCCTGAGCTTGCTGCGATTCGGGGATTGACCCCGGGCTCTTGCTGCGCCTTGGCCAAGGATCTGTTAAGTCAGGACAGCAAAGCAGCTTGTCCCAGCTCAGGTGGCCTGCTCCTTGGTGGGGGACCAGAACCCCCATGTGCTTCAAGGCCTTCTTTCTTTGGCCTCTTGGTCCGAATACCATCCAAATAAGTGTGTAAGCCCCTCCAATGCCCCTTCCAAGAGAGGCCCCTTGTGAGGGCCAAAGAGCTAATGTTAAGTAGTGACCCAGGTGGCAGAGCTGAATGAGGGGTAGACAAGTTGGCTGGAGGCTCACAAGGAGATTCTGCCTTCGCCAGGTGGCTTCTGGAGCATAGCACTCAAGGGGCCTGAGTGCTGGGGTCTTGGATGCTGCACATTGACCTGCCTTCCCATCCCCCGCCCACACTCCCTCCCCAACCTGTGCTCAGCTCGGGCAGCACCTCTGCCTTCTCCCTAGTGGCCCAGGCTGCAGGCTCAGGCAGGGGTCCTCAAGGGCCCCAAGAGAACACTGAGGCCTGGGCTTTTGTCCGGGGTACGTAGCGCTTGTTCTGGCTGAGCCAGGGAGCCCACGGAGCCGCATCTGGGCTCCAGGCCCAACTGCACAAAGAGCCGAAGATTTCCTCCTTCCGCCAGGGAAAAGGCCGCTCTTCAGGGGAGGAGGAGAAGGCCGAATTCCCACATGAACCTGGAGCCCCGGTCAGCTCGGGGGCTTGGTGACCCAGCACGTCGCAAGCTCCCTCCAGGAGAGAGAGGCACAAGCTTGTGCTTGCTCAGTTCCTCCCGCTCAAGCCCTGTTCATGGTGAAAATTTGGAATTGCAAGCTTGCCCCTCCCTCTGGAGAAACAAGACCTTCTTTTGGTCGACATTGTTTGTATGAAACTAGAACCTGTATGTGTTAATAGTTCCTGCTGGGACAGTGAATAAAAACTGAAGGAACAACTACTCCCTGCTTAGTTTTTTGTCTGCAGACCTTCAGACGCACCCCACCAGGGGCATGTCCATCCCCCAGCGTAGGGGGTACCCCCTAGCCTGTGCCCCCACCCCGGAGCCCTCTGTGCCCATCCACGTGGGCTTCTCCAGCACGGGCTAAGCTTTCCTCATCCACCAGCTACTGTGTTCCGGCGCCGCATTTTCATATTTATTCCCCACTGCGCTCTGCTGAGTTTCACGGAGAGAACCTGAGAACCAGAGGTTCAGGAATGTGACCGAGGGCACCTGTCTGGCGAGTGGCGCCCCAGTCTCCATCCCCACGCACTGCCACCCAGGGGCTCTGTCTGCCCTCCCTGCGTGTGAGTTATCAGCCATCAGGCCATGGGAGGGGCACCGCGGCCGTCGCGTCCAATGGCTGGATAACTGAAGTCAGACGAAGGAAGTGAATGAGGGGTCTGGTGTGAGTTCGAGCCCCGCGTCGGGCTCCGTGCTGACAGCTCAGAGCCTGGAGCCTGCTTTGGATTCTGTGTCTCCCTCTCTCTCTGCCCCTCCCCTGCTCACACTCTGTCTCTCAAAAATAAATAAACATTAAAAAAATTTAAATGTCATGTCTGCATGGTTGGGGTCAGCGGTTCTGCCAAGATGGGGTGGGTCAGGTGCCGTATCCCGGCCTGAGGAGGGCAGGAGGGTGAGGCCAGTGTGTGCTGAATCAAGGTGAAGAGGTGGGGGGGGACTCTCGGGAAAGCCCACATAAAAGCAGGGCTCCCCTCCTCTTGCCAAGGTTGCAGGGGCTCCTGCTGGAGCCCCCACAGATGCCCCCGGGAGGCAGGCGCTGGGAGGAGTCCCTGTCCCCACAAGCCGCGGCTGCGAGTGCCCAGCCTGAGAGGACTGGATCCCCACGTTACAGAGCAGGAAGCTGAGGCCCGGACGGGTGAGGTCACTTCTGAGGAGCCCCACTCAGTAAAGGACACCCCCTGTCCCAGGGCGGGACGGGGCCTCCGGCGTGGCCAGCACGAGTTCCCTCCACTTACAGGGGGAAGCAGCTGGATGCCCCCCACCCAGCACTGGGCCTCGCCTGCTGCTCCCAAGGGACTATTCCCAGGGTTGTGAGGATCCTGAGGTCCGGCCTCCCCTTCAGGTATGAGCTGTCCTTGTTCTCCAGCAGCAGGGCCAGCCTTGGGACCCCCATCTCTGCCCAGGCCTCCTGGAGGACCCTCTGGGAAGAGGAAGGCGTCCCAGCCTCTCCCTGAGTCCCTTGCCCCACCCCTCACCTCCGTGGCTCCAGACCACAGCCACGGTGCCCGCTTCCCTCCTGACAGGCTGGACGGGGTGGGATGGAGGCCTCTTTATAAGTACAGGTGACCTAAGCCTCAGCAGGCCGTTGTCTTTTCATCCTTGAGGTGAGGGACCCCTGCGACAGCTGCAGAGGGCAGACATGGGCCAGGGCTCTCCCCTCAATCCTCCCAGGGCTGCTGGGCCTCCCCAGAGGCTGTTCCCTCCGCCTCCTTGCACCAAGCTCTGAAAGCCAGCTCTGAACACTTTCCCAGGAGGAAGGAAAGAAAGAAAAAGAAAGAAAGAAAGAAAGAAAGGAAGGAAGGAAGGAAGGAAGGAAGGAAAGAGAAAGAAAGAAAGAAAGAAAGAAAGAAAGAAAGAAAGAAAGAAAGAAAGAAAGAAAGAAAGAAAGAAAGAAAGAAAAAGAAATAGAAAGAGAGAGAGAGGAAGGGAGGAAGGGAAGAAAGAAGGAGGGAAGGGAGGAAGGAAGGGGAAGATGGAGAAAGGAAGGAAAGAAAGAAAGAGAAAATAGAAAAGCATCACCTAATTAGCTCTTGGATGTTGGCATCAAAACATTCAGAGCTTCTGTGTTCTAAGATATTTTGATTTGTTTCGATCTCATGTCTGTTTCTCGGCTTGCTTATGTTTCATGTCCCATTTCTAACGTTCTAAGTTGCACGTTGGGTCCAGTGGCTTCTAGATCCAAACTTTACTCAAACGGGGTCTGTAGATGTTCCAGGTGGCTGTTTGTCCTTCAATTTTTTCACTCGTGTCTAGTTTCCGTGATAGGCAATTAGAATAATCTCTGTTATTTGCACTTTTTCAAAAAAGTTTGAGGTTTTCATTGTAGTCCAATACGGTGAACTTTCGTAAGAGTCGTCACCCGATATCATCAGGATGTAGATTTTCAGTTTTTTTAATATGTTAAGTATTTTGAAATTATATATTTATATTTTAAATTATGTATGGTAGCTATTTCTGTGGATAAGAATTTTAAGCTTTCCTTAAGTCGCGACTGGCAGGAGAGGAGAAAAATAATGTGTGGACTCTAAGGAACGGCAAATTACGGCTTCGTCTTCCCTCCCAGCTTCCTGTCTTCCTGTCTTCTCCCTTCCCTTCCTCCTTTCCTTCCCTCATGTCTTCCAGAGACAATTCACGGAGCACTGAGCGCCCTGCAGAGGGCACTGGGAACACGGACCAGGGGCCAGCAGTGACGTGTGGGTAGGTGCTCACCACGTGGCCAGGGAGAGGAAGGGCCTTCCAGGCAGAGGGAACAGTGTGGGCACAGGCTGGGGCCATGTGAGGGGCCGGGGTCTGAGGCTGTGTGGCTTCATTGTTGCTGCCCTGCCCCTGTCCCTCTGTGATGATGCTCTGCCCTGGTTACCAGACTTGGGGGTGGCTCAGGTGGAAGTTCCGTCTCCTCACTGCCCTGGCCCGGCCGGCCATGGGGGCCCCCGGGGCTCATCAGCCCGGGAACTAGGCTGTTTGAGCAGTGGACCCGGGAGACTGTGGAGTGTTGTGGCGGGAGAGCTTTATATGTGATACTAAGTCTTGGTGTCCCCGCATTTCCACGGGAGGTGGTGGAGGGTGCTGTAGTAGGCGCCCTGGTGAGAGTTCTCTTGTTTTTGACAGACTTGTTCGGCCAGTGAGGGAAAGACACTGTGTACAGAGACGAGGAATGTGCCCATAGCAGTTCCGCATGAGTTCTAGAAAAATGTTTTGCCTCGGGATAGAAGAAGACGGAAGCCCTGAAGTACCCGGTGTCCTGGACGTGCCCCAAACTGTCTGGAGCTGCCAAAAGTGGTTCAGAGATCCTAAAGGAAAGTGGAAAGACCTCTTTCGTCTTGTAGGAATCGGATTCCGTCCCTTGAACTGAGAACTCCTGACGGTGTGGTTCAGAGCATCGGAGGCCGAGAGAAACCACATCACCTCCAGCCAGGAGGTGCGGACTTGAGACAAAGAACAGTGAAAACGGTGATTAAACCAGAGCTTCTAAACCCGGATCCTCATGCGTCTCACGATCCAGGCGGAGAATGTGTCTCAAGGAACAAGTGCTCCCGGTCACTCAGCCCTCCCTGGGCTGCCAGCCGCGCCC